TAGATAGATAGATAGATAGATAGATAGATAGATAGATAGATAGATAGATAGATAGATAGATAGATAGATAGATAGATAGATAGATAGATAGATAGATGCCCCTATCGACACATTAAATTTAGATTATTCAAGAGGACAACCCGGGCTGAGAGGATTACAACATCCCAGCAGAAAGACATGTGAAATCAGGCGCTCTTCAGGATAATGAAATCGAAAAAAATGACATTTTTCTGACTGTTTGACAATTTTTCTCGAACCTTTGTTTTTTTACTAAACACCATTAAGGTCCATTTTAAAAAACATTTCTGCGTGGATTTTACTGGAAAATGTTAATCTAAGGCACAAAAATTTGCAGTTTCTAATGACTCACAAGCTTTAGAAGTTGCCAAACTTTGGTGGCCATTTTCTCGCCAACGTGTGCAACTTTCACACGGGACCTCCGAGATTGTTCCCCTTTATCCGAGAAAGCTAGGTGTTAGAACTTACCTACCCTGAGATCAGGTGTGTAGCTGAAAGACAGCTGTAAGAAGGAGCCAGAGAACAGCTGTAGAAAGGCTGCAGAAAGAGTCAGGAGCCCAGAGTAGGGGGCAAGAGGATGGGGTCGGGGACAGAAAGTGGAGACGAAAGCAGACGACAGGACACTGGCAGAGAGCAGGAAAAGAGGTGAAAGGAGAATATTTCACAGAAGAAATCTGAATTAGAGACGAAAACTGTAACCCTTATAATACCACGAGTTCCCCCAGTCAACGTTCGCTGACAAACCGATAAAAGTTATGGTTTGTGATTCTTCCTCCTTTTAGTTCTTCTTTAGCAAGTCTTTTCCGTGGTCAGCCATCATCCCATACCGAGTGCACATTGACCATCCAACTGATTTGATTAAGTGCGGGCCAGCTAGAATTTTCCTCCACACGGGTAGAGACAAAAGCTTAGAAGGACACAATTTGACCGTATTTGAGTGAATTCTGTTGCAACCTTCAAAATCGAATTCGTTTGTTTTCCAAGGTTTTTTTGATTGAGTAGATGTTTTACGGCACTATCGACTCAATTTTTGGTCATGTAAGTGCCAACAGGTTTTACTGCAACAAATCTGTCATCGTGTTATGTTTTAGTAAAAGTTTTACGGCGCTCGCAACTGCATACGGTCATATCATCATCATATTAAAAGGACGGGCAGACATTTATGAAAATCTTTGTAAATATGGTAAAGACCCTTATTTACACTGGTATTTATAATATTAAGTTCAGTGTATGTATATACACCGACAACGACAACTATGCATTTTTATACCTTATCAATCAATCCTATTTCTTTTATGAAACTCAAATTTTTTTCTCGGACTAACGATGTCAGAGAGAGTTTTGACATCTTTACATCTGAAGTATTTTATGCGTATATTATTCATCCAAGTCGACACATTCCGTCAGGATGTGCCGAACTGTAAAATATGTGTTGCACGCCACACAAAAAGGAGCTTCCTCTCCTTCGAGTAAATGTTTGTGCGTGACGTGCGTGTGTCCTATTTTTAATCTTGTGTAAACAACATTCTCTCTTCGTAGGGGAAACACGAGTGTTTTCGAAGGACGCGAGTCGAATCGATCTTATTGTGTCAAAAAGTGAAGCGTGCTGACGAAATGAGTTACTTCTCGACTTATGGCTTTAAGGAAAAAATATACATCACACTTATATGTGAAGTTTTTACAATTTATATTAAGAAAGGTGTGTTATATTTAAAGAATACATATGGCATCACTAGAAAATCTACTTATTTGACCCTAGTGTCAAAATTTGGCCAATATCTCCATTTGTGGACAGCGAGAAGTAACTCATTGTGTCCGCACGTCTCACAAATAGTAGCTTTTTCCTCTCCGTGGGGGAGAATCTGGATGTCCTCGATTCAATCAGAGCAATTTCTTTTGACAGTGTGTACTGGGCATAATACTGTTGCGCTGTTGCTTCTAAAGAAAATGTGATACTCGTCAATTTTGGGACGTATGGAGTTATTAGTGCCATCTTAAAGCTTACTGATTTGCCTCGCATTTGGCGAAAAAGCATACCCATATATCTAGAGCAGAAGTCGAGATATTTGCGAATGAAGAAATTTGGGGTCTACTGGTTTCAGAGGTAAAATAGTGAGTCAAAGATAATTATTTTATTAGCTTAGGAGTCTGTGGAACCTGAAAACTTACATTTTGGGTGCATTTAATCTGCGTTTTTCAGTAAAATCCACACCGAAATGTATACTTTAATAGGCTTTAAAGGTGTTGAGCTAAAAAAAAAAAAAAGAAATTCTGTTAAAATTCACAAACCTGCAGTAATATGCCTGTGTCTTCACTTTGATTGTTTTATCGAGCGCCTGATTTCACCACGATGCCTCACACATGTCCACCGCCCGGGGTAGTGCCACTGACTGAAGTGTCTTTAGGCCATTCCCAAAGGGGGGACATTTCTCGTTCAAGCACAGTAGAATTGTAAATGAGCTGATTCATGTCGTGCTCATAACTGTACCTGATCTACAACAGGGAACTGCTGCTTTTTCTTTCTTAATCCTTACTGTTGTCCTTTTCCTCTATTTCTTTTGTATGTTTGTCACTCTCTTGTGACTTGCTATTTCCGGGGTGCCTAGACAGTCGAATCAGACCTTGTACTGTTGAAGCTAGAGTGGTGAGCAGAATAAGTCTGATTCCCTGTAAAGACGTCTCTGTTGACACCCACCCCTTGGCGCACATATGACCTTATGCAGTTTCGAGAGCCGTAAAACCTTCTACTATAAAAATAATTTTAAAAATCCTCACTATTTACAGAACGATTCGGCGAGAGTTCAGGACTACCTCATCTCACCGTCTGGCATGGACGCTCGTCTGGAGCGGATACACAACGTCTGCAAAGAATGGAGCGTTCCTGGCAAGGTGAGAGAAGCTTTTCGGTTTAACCCTACCCGTGGGTGGTTGGCGGGTGCTCTAGTGTGGTTTGCTTCTTTTCTATCAAACATCTATAGTCCTTATCTCCCCTTCTTGTTTTTTTTATGTTTGTTACTCTCTTGTAACACCTCTAATCTTCTGGCGCTCATATGACCTTATATAGTTGCGAGCGCCGTAAAACTCTTACAAAAAAATATAACTCTATCCGTACGCCCTGGGGTCATTTTGTACCCCCGGGGTTGTATTCTTCCCATTTTAGAATACTTCTAGTGCGAAAATCTCTTTGAAACTTTTGAGTATTTCTCGAAAAATCATTTTGACAGACTGATATGCAAAGCGTACGGATCGGATTAACGAGTAAATTTCCTCTTTCGAAAGTGTTGGCACAGAGTTCCCTACGTCGTATGGGTACGATAGTAAAACACGACGTACGGATAGGGTTAAGTTTATTTTATTCAACAGGGTTTGTCTTGAGTGGAAAATCTGACACACTTCAATGTTCGTCTTTTTTGCTTTCCTATCCAACTTATTCTGGCCATTCTACGGTAGCACCACATTTCAAACACAATTATTTTGTTTTCGTCTTTCTTTGACGAAATCTAGGTCTCAGCGCCATATAGAAATAAGGGGCAGATGTAGCATTCCAGCTTTTTCTTTCTGAAAGTGAGGGATAGTTGCCTGGATTTAAATAGTTTGTGCATTTACACATGGGAACAGGAAAAAGCGAACTGTGATCGTCGAGATTAGCGAGGTCCTGGATTAGAGGGGGGGGGTGGCTCTGCTACTACTACTACTACTACTACTACTACTACTACTACTACTACTACTACTACTACTACTACTACTACTACTACTACTACTACTACTACTACGTTACCATGGGAACAGGAAAAACGCTAAACTGTGATAATATAAATAGGCACAACATTGTCCTCACTTTTCCCGGACACAGTGCGCAGCTGTGATTATGTGACGTCTGTCCACTATCGTGCCGCCACAGAAACGGCGTCTTGAAGAGGACCCGCCCACTACCCAGGGAAACTCGCATTCTTCTGTATCCTCTCCGTCCCTGATCTTCCCTCTGTCACTTCGCGGCTCGAACCCACATTCTGGTTGGAGGAAAAATCAATTGTGTCACGATGCAGTGGAATCAGGCGCTCGTCAATTTTGGGACGTGCGGAGTTATTAGTATCTTCTGAAAACTTGT